GAAATTTGCTGACCTGTTCAATGATATGGGACAGCTTGGTCTAATATTTGACTGTGAGGAAGTTATATTATGATAAAACATTGAAGGTAAAGATGGAATGATATATAAACCAGAGTCCTTCATAACAATTATAAAAAATCTTTGTTTTCTCCGCATTTGGGGTATATTTCTGTCTTTTTATAGAAGAAGTCTGTATCTACATTAAAAACTAAGTGTGCCCACTTCAGTTCTCAGTTACTGAAAGGACTCCACCTACTGGTCGAGGATGACATTGGCTGGAGAAGCAAAGATGTGTCATCTTTGATTCTGCCTTTGCCCCAGAAGTTTTGCGTTTCTGAGAGATTTTTATTTATTTTTTTCAAGGTGTTGATTATATTCTGATAATGGAGCACAACATCAGCTCCAGACATGTAAACCACCAGGGCCATTTCAACGGCATACTTAAAAGCATTCTTCCCGTGTTATACGAGATTTAAACTGAAAAACACTCTGACAATAAATTCAACCCTACAGTAGATATAAAACCTTTAAGAGGCCCTTATGTGGTTTGTTCTGTAAAAGCTTGTAAATCCATGAGACTAGCTTTGGGTGAGTCTGGAGGTCTAAAATGTACTACAATAAATAGTGGTATTTACAACGTTAAAGGCTGTACTGAGTCCAAATGTTCAGTGTAATTATGGCTAAAAGCATAAGCCTTGCATCTTCCATCCCACGCTTTGCCAAAAGTTAAAGCTAGAGGTCTGTAATCTTTCAGGCTTTTTGCAAGTACATTTTTTTTTAGAATTTGTGATTAATCTGGATTTGTTTTTCACACTAGTTAGGGACACGAACATCTCACAAAGGGAGGCTTTAGCAAAACAGATACAAGATAAGACAACCCAGCTGTGGATAATTATCTGCTTACTTGATATATCAGAGTGAAGAATTCGACACCATATTTTAAAATGCAGTCAGTTTAAATTTTTACTAGATTTTTTTTCTAGATCAAATTCTATCCAACACAAAGAAATTCTCTTTTTGGAATCTGTAAATAAATACCTTCATTAGAGACCAAACACTCAGTCCATGATGGAGAAAACTCATGTCAATGATTCTTTGTTCATTTCACTAAAAAAGAAAGGAGCCAATCTGTTTTATCACATTAAAGAAGTGTTGTTTTACCGTTGTTGTTTCAAAGGGAAACATAATGTACTTTTTACCATAGATTTACCTTAAATTCACCCCCCATTCCATACATCTTAAATTCATTTACTTTTATTTTAACATTGGTGATATCATTTTTTTGTATGTCATTTTTTTTGCTTTTTTTACTATTGGACTTCTTGCTTAGACCAAGAATCTAAATGGCAGAATTAAAACAATTCAAATCAAACATAAGATTAGAGAGGGGAAAAAACTGTAATCAAGATATGAGGAGAACCAAAAGCTTTTGATTAAGGTGTTAAGGAAAAAGGTATAAAATAACACTAAGGATTTTAATGACTTTTGAACAATTTAAAGGGAACTGAAAGGGGGTTGAACTATTACAGCTCAACCATTGCCTCATATAATAAGAAAAGGTGTTTTTTTTTTATTCAAATAATGATAACCCTGTCAAATGACTTGTGTCAATCATTAACAACCATTTAGCTCTGGACTCAGTGCCAGTGATTAAAAAATATATTTGTGGAATTAACTTCAAAAGAAAGTCGACCAGTAACAAAGAGACCGCAAACCTGTGAGATCACATGATATTTTAACACCATTTGATAATGTGATGTCCGCAAATTCTACCGTCTACATAACTGTACAATGAGTATTATTTACCTAGCCTAATTTTCATTTAAATAAAATGTTCTTGGTGTTTAGGTTCAGTTCCTTGCTAATAATGACTATTACTACTTAGGCAGAACATTGACAACATATATGGGCTGATATCCTCTAGCTTAACAGATTTTATTATGATCACATTTACATTTTTCACAAAACTGTGATTAACTTATAGGTCTGCTGCATCAACTCTGTCATGTGCTCTGAAATGATACATTATCCACAAAGCAGGGCACCAATGTAACAGCAATGTGCAAAGAAATCCAAGGAATAAATATTTCAAAAATGACAGAGAGACATAATTATATCGTAAAAAGTTGTGATTACGAGGGGCGTTCAAAAAGTATTGCCCCTGGCCCACTTCCAGATGTTTGATTGAGCTGAAATTTTGCATGTGAAGTATTTTAAATCTCTATAGATTAAATAGAAAATTACACATCTGAACTAATTGTGGTTTCTGATTTACTGGTGTTAAAACTGAGTCACGTCTGAGTTTTTGCGTTTGAAAGGATGCAAACAATGGGAGACTTTTGATCAAATTAAAGTAACTTATGGAGATAATGTCCAATAATATAACCTTGTAAAACATTTTGCAGGGTCATATAATGGGCATCATCACCATAAGTTACTTTAATGTCCTCAAAAGTCTCCTGTGGTGTGAGTCCTTTCCAATAGAAAAACCAGATCACTGCTCCACACTCAACAGACTTTACTCAGTTCAAACACCTGTAAGTCAAAAACCACAGATAGTTCAGAGCTGTAATTTGCTACTTAATCTATAGAGATTTAAATAACCTCACATGCAAAATTTCAGCTCGATCAAACATCTGGAACTGGGTTAGGGGCATTACTTATTGAATGCTCCTTCGTAGATATGGTTACAAATACCTTTTTAAGAAATATATATGTAGGGAAAGCAAATGCTGGATTTTTTTCAAAAATTAAAATTGAAAAATTTAAGCAAAGATAAAAAATTAAAATAAATGTAATGTTTTTTTCATGTCTTTGTATTGGGTGACAAAATCTGTGGAGGGCACTGTGTCCAAACAGACATGTGATCCTCAACTGCCGGAGTTTAGACGCTAGAGTGCAGTAAAGCCTCATCTATAAAGCGTGTAACCACAGTCTCCATCATTTTACCAAGCTGTCTGTTGCCTGCAGCTCCTCATTCAAACAGAATTACACTGTGAAATAGGATTACGTGTCAAGCAATGCAATGATTGAGTACAATTGTTGTGGTTTGGCAGAATCATGGGATAAAAAGGAAGTACACAAACATGAATTTCCTGTTCCTCATGCTGAAGTGAGTCATCTGTGAAACCACATTAAGATAAGTCAATCCAAGGTGTTAAATGATGGATATCTTAGCACCCACAATTTGTTCTGCTTTTCTTTTCTTAAACTGAGTAAAGAATAGCAGTCCATTGTCTGGTTCATCCCCAGGGAGCCTACAGACTGACTTATTGCCCTATAATTATGTTCAGGGGTGAAAGTGTGTGTGTATAAATGAACGTGATCTGTTTTAAAAGAAGTTTCACTACGGGTGCTGTTTCCTTAGATTGTGGATCAGGGAGTGGATTTCCCTTTATAGGTTGATGTTTCCTCTCCCAGACAACTCCTTCACACACAAGCTGGCTGAGGAGGCTGGCTCGCATTATACAAAGGCACGTTTAGCATTTGAAAAACAAATAAAAAAATAAACAAAACGAGAGGCGGAGATTAAAAAACATCTTAGTCCCATATTTCATCAGCATCTCTTGCATTCCAATGAGCTGTGGGTGTGGACGTTTGCATGCAGGCTGCACTAAAATAAGAGGAGTCTTGGAAAACCTCCACTTTTTCTAAACCTTTGATGTCTGTGTCAGACTGGATTGGCACAGCCTCCGTCTGCAGTGCTGACCATGCACCCACAGAGGTCAGGTCCCCTGATATAAAGCCTGTGGAGCCAATTAACCCCTGATCTAAGGTCCATTAACCCTCAGTCTGCACTTCAACCAGATAACATCAAGAAAGGGCACAAACAAATGACTTAAACAAGTTGAAACATTAAGACAGAGACTGGGACCTTTTTTTATTCTGTCAGCCCGAAAAGAGAGTGTAAAAAATACAACAAAACATTCGTCTGTGGAGCTAATTACTCAGGAGTAGAGCGGCTTGGTTAACCTGCGTAGTGATATCTCACATTTCAGTTCCTCATTCCATTCCCCAAAAAAACTGAGAAATACTCAGAATTTCTTTTATTAATAACACCTCGTCTAGATGTTGGCACCCGCCTCATCTGTCTGTATCCTCTTTAACGGAACTCTGGATAAATGGCTGGCAAAAAAGGACAACAAACAGCAGTAATATTATATGTGTATTTTGGCAATATGTGACAATCAAAGTTAGGAAGTGAATCAAGCAGAAAATACATCCAGGTATCAAAAGACAAAGTTATATGAGATAACCAATATTAAACGCTAAATTCCTACCACCTTGGTGGGGATTCCTGTCTCCTTGTCTTATTGAGCACAAAATAAATACTACTAAAGAGGTAAATAACTTAAAGTAATGGGTTATAAAGTCAATAATCTCAGTCAGCAGGACCCTGCTCAATCCATCATGAAAAAGTGTAAAACAAAGTATGAAAATAGGTTTGTCCAGTTAAACAGACAAGATAGAGAGGAGCACTGTAGCCTACAGTATAGGAGACCCAATGAAGATGATGCATTTTTGCTCCAATGTAAATAAAATACGTATACAAGCAGAAAGCTGTGTAAGATGGTAACAATAGTTCGACCTCACTGTGAGACTTGGTGGTGTTAGAGTCATACAGTGGGGACGCTTTCCTTTCGCAGGGACAGGAGAAGCTGAGTTGTTGGGGTGATGACTAAAACTAAATAGAAATCTAATGGTTCAGTTCAATGTTCATTCATATGTGAAAAAACTTTAGTTTTTATCAAATGAAAATATATTCAATGAAAGATATGAGTGCAGAAAATGACTGAGGAGGACTGCACAGTGGAATGCTTCAGAAAGAAGTGCACTACTGTTCACTATAGTAAAATAAGTGAAGGAAAAAGTAACTGAAAGAGATAAAGATTGAGATGCTGGATAGGAGGGGAGTGATTGAGACAAGGGAGGGAGAGAGGAAAGGTATCTGATAAAAGGGGATATTCACAAACACACTCACACGCAGGGAGAGAGGGAGAACAGAAACTGTTAAAACGTCTGTTCGCTCCTTCCACTCTCAGCATCGCTCAGTTTCTGCAGGAGGCTGCAGCTCCATCCCTTCAGGATCTCTACCAGCATCACTGAGCAGATATGATCTGCACACTTCCCACTGAAGTCTCCTCACTCTCAGCCGGGATCTCTTCATTTTTTTAATGGATGACAAAAGACAAACGTAAATAAATGGATTTCTCGCAACAGAACTAATTTGAGTTCAAGAAAAGGATCTTGAGAGAGGAGGGAGAGAGATCAGACAGAACAGGGTCGCTCCAAGTCAGGTCCCTTTGTGTTTCTTGTTTGTAGGAGCAGTACTACCCCATTGTGCCTTGGATATGGGACCGTGCGTCAGCCCAGCGGGATCCGGGTCCGGTGCAGAGGGAAAAGCCTTCTCCTGATTTTTTTTTATTTTTTTTTATTTGATTCTGCTTAATTTCTTTAGAGGAGGTGAGGCTGTGAGTTTTACGCGCCGGAATGATGCGTCCCAACCGCGGCTTCATCCTGCTCCTCCTCAACGGAACAGCTTGTTTGGTAAGAGAAGAGTGGGAGTGGGCAGAAAGTCACACTTTGCTTTCCACGCACCTTGCTCCGTCCTGCCCATGCATGGTGCACAGATGCACTATTAATTAAATAGCGGAAAACTTTCCAGTTCACTGCAGCTTTGCGTAATCATCTTATATATAAAGATATATATTTTTTTTCTTTAATTTTATGCAAAAATGCGAATATTTTCCTTATCTGCTTTCTTTGAGACTGACATGCTGTTATCCATGTTATTAATTAACAAAGGGCTTGAGTTTGGCCCCGGACAGCCAGGTGCGCTGATAGTCCCAGGAGGAAACTGATGCCAAGCGCCTTTTAAGCGCTTCCGTTTTTCCACCTGTCAGCTATTCTATCATTTTTAAAACTTTAAAAAATGTGGCTCATTAAAAAATGATAATTATCATCTGAATATCTATTCTTTCAAATATCAAAGAGAGCGCGGAAAAAAAGACAAAACTTTTATTAAAGATTTAATATTTCAAGAACGCACAACCCAACCCAAGGGATTCGAAAACAATTTACCTGCTTTTTTCATTATTTCATCATAATCACATCTTTTTTTTTTTTTTTATCAGCATCATTAGTGGTATTATTATTATTTTTATGGGGTGCAATTTTAGAATAATGACCAAAACTGCCTTAATATGATTTCAGAAGACAGCAGTAGACTGAAACTACTGTGATGGACTTTGACTAAAAACTTCCATCCTTACATAACCTGCAATCAAATTTAAATCACCCACTCCTCTTTCAAGTAGACAGATTCAAACGCAGCTTTTTAATGAGAAGACTCAGCTCATGATTCACATGAGAAAACTTAGAAAAAAAAAACATCCTTCTGTTCACAAACCCCTGGGCTGACTGCAGCCCAGTCATCATGGTGCCCTGGGAACAGACTCAACAGAAGCAAAGATGTTCAAGTGATAAAGCAGCTGTTCATTTCTGATGACCTTATGATTAACATAATGAGGTAAAATTTTGTAGAAGAGATTAAATTCAACTGCTCCTTTTCTTTTCTTTTCTTTTTTTTCTTTGAGTAACATCAGGCTATAATATTTAGAGAATATAACACTTGAAAAGAAAGTTTTTGTAGCCGCCTCTGTGTTTGGAAAATGACCTCCTTATCCTGCTGCCCTTCTTCCACAGTGAAGATAACAGGCTGTGTACACTTGTTGTCTTGATTCTGAGAGTTTCTTTCATTCTCCAGAGCTGCTTCAGCCTGCTTTATCCAAAAGTCTGTGGCTAATCATAGGGAAATTGATTTCTGGGTTTTTCCTCTCCTCCTTGCCAGACCATGTATCTGAATAATATGACATCTCTTAGCAGGATATCTGGACTAAGTCATTATATGCAACATTGATATATTAGGAAATAATTAATATAGTAAGTAATTATTTTATTATGCAGCAGAGAAGCACTTAATAATCATACAAGACCACTCTGCATTAAATATTCCGATTTGAATTATTTTCTGTAATAATTCCCAGACAGGGCTCAGTCTCCAGGGATTTTTCAAAAACGACGTCTATTAATACAAGGTGCCACTCTGCTTGCTGTTTATATGATTAATGATGTGTTTCAAATGCTAATTCTTCATATTTGAATGGAGGTTTATGAATAATCCAAGCCATCTGAGATGTATAATTGACTGCTTGAGAAATTGTTTATTTTTGGCAGCATTTTTTGTTACTTTTCATCAGTGAAGCTCAGTAAGCTCTCTGGATTTGGATCACTGAACTAAACAACCAATGTGTGTATAGAAAGATGATAATCTGTCATAAAATGGGAAGAAGGTGGGATAATTAACAGGATTGTTCCCTTATACACTAAGCATGTATTAGAGGAGGGTTATTTTTTTTTTAACCTTTACTATAAAAAATATTTGGGTTTATTTTATCAGTTAAAATCTAAGTTTTTTTCTCTTAAGCTTTGGAAATAATTTATACTTTCTATTCAATTTAAAGAATACAGGATTAAAGTTTTCAAAAAAGGAGGTGATGCAATATTCAAGCTTAACCAGGCCTATTTTTCCAGCTGTCTTTAAAGAGTGTATTAGTCAAAGCATAGGGAGAATAAAAATGCTTGCAGTTATTATCTTGATGCACTAATGTACAGGAAGAAAAACAGTCAGTATTTTGTCTGCAGATTAATGATTAAAGTTGATCATTAAACAAAAATATTTGAAGCTGAAATCTGTCTGGTTGGTTGATGCATTTCTAAAAAACAACAATTTCTGAATACTTACTCTACGGTCTGGAGTTACTTATTGTTTATCCAGTTGTGTCAAAATCAAACATTTGTACTGCTTCCTTGGAAGTAACATTAATTCAAATGACATTGCAAAGACGGAGATACTGAAGCAAAACTTTACACATTGCAGATGCTGGAAATGATATAAAGATCAGCAAAAAGAAAATGTACAGTTTAAAGTAGAAAGATTTATAAACCTGGCCAGAGATTAATACAATATTTTATACAGATAGCCTCCCCAATACAGCTTGTCTACATGTGATGGATGCACAACAAAATGTAGAGCACTCATGGATTCTGGAATGGAGAAGGTTAATTAGTTGTGCTGCTCTCGTTTTCAACAAAATGAGCAT